ATGATCTTGGAGGTCTCTTCCAACCTTTATGATTCTATGATTCTATGATTAAATGGAGTGAAACAGACTGACCATATCTCTGTTAAATTGCTGCCAAAAAGAGAATTCCACAAGAGCTGATTTTTTCAATAAAAATTCTGAATTTCTCTAAAAAAAATAACTGTAGGTTGCTCATTAAATTCTGCTTCCTTTATTAGAACAGTTCAAAATTTCTCTTGCCTTCCTATTACAAAAAAATTAAGTATAATCCAGCTAAGCAATTCCTCAAAGGTTTATTTATTTTTTTGAATGGAAAACATGTTTTGACCTCTATATAAATCAGGTACAAATGAAGAGCAAGGAAAAGAGAGAGAAAGCAAGGAATTCACTAGAGAAACCAAAGTTGATTACTAAATGCTAAATAAGTGACTCTGAAGAAGGTTCTCCCCTAAAACTATTCGCACCTCCTTTAACAGAGAAGCACATTAGATTTCATGTATATTTTGCATGCTCATGTGCATGAAAATATGTTTCTTTACTAGGTCTGGCTAGCTCACAGCTCATTATAAAAGCGTACTTTTTTCCTTGAGCACAAAAAGGAAACAAGGTGACATTCATGTTTACTTTCACTTTCACCTTGATGCATGCAGGCAATCGACATTTCTTCTTTTCTTTTCAGAGACAGATGGTGGCATCATGAAAAGCTCCAGTAAAAGCACAGATCTCGTCTTGGGATCCCCATCCCTGCCAGGGTCTTTGGACAACTGACCTAATTGCTGGGTCAATGAACGCTAAATAAGAAAACCTCTATAAGCTCTACCACCTCCATTCTAACATTTTAGGACTCTCTGGAAGAAATAAAAAATAAAAAAGGATGCTACCTCCTGAACAAAGACAAACTGCGGAAAATACTCTGTTCCTGCCCCTCTCCCTGCTGCAATTTTGCTTGCCGGCTTGCAGCTGAGCCCCCCTGTGTGGTGCTCATGCATGATCTTCTGGGAGCTGGGTGGGCGGAGGGGCCTCCCCAGCTGCATGAACCCATCCTGGCTGCTCCCACTGCAAGACAGATTTCCAGATGCAGACAGAAACAATACAAAAAGATCAGAAGAGAGAAGACCCCAGGCGATCGGAGGCATATCATCCAGGCCCCGTGGGCAATCAAATTTCCAACGGAAGAAAGGACTTATCAGTAAATAATTTTGCCTTTTTGCACATGCATGGTTTTCTCTCATGCCGTGATGGTGGGTTGAAGGACAGAACACAGGTGTTTCAAGCGGTGGTCCCCAGAAACAAACTTACATTGCAGTGCCACGAGCAGGACCAAAAGCAGAGAGGGAGGAAAAAAGCTGCAACCAGGTTCCCCTCGCTCCACGTGCAGGAGGGGGAAGATGAAAGCGCATGTTCTGCATCCCTCAGAAAGAGGAGCTTCAAAGCCGATTATGCCCATGAAGTGAAATTTTATCCAGCCAAATAGCATTAAGCAATTCGAAATCAAGGCACATTGACTTGTTCCTGCATTCAGCACGCAGCCTCTTCAGTTTAGAATAATCGAAGTATGAGAAAGAGGAGGCTTGAGGACAAGTCCTTTCATGTCATCGGGAGAGGGTGGTGTTTTCAGACATGAGAAGAACAATGAATTAATTTACAGCATTTTTCAGTATCCAAGCTCCTAATCTTCAGGTCTGGCAGGTCTAGAAACCACGGAGACAACAGAATTAACACTGATTTACCCCTCTTGACCTTCTTCAGCACACCATGGGCAGCCAGAAGAACACAGTTAAGCAACATCATAGCGCTCTGCTCTGTTCCACAAAAACCCTCACCACAGGAAGCATGAGTACAAGGGCTTGAAATCAAATAGAGGAAAGCACGTTGTGCACAATTTGGATCCAAATGTCTAGATTCTACTGGCAATCTGCACTAGTAAAATTAACATGCCCAGGCATATTCGCTGGCCATTGCACAGTCCGTCCTGCAAACTGTTGGCCTCCCAGAAGAGAGCTGCTCGATCCACCTGCAGTCCACAGGAACCCCACACCGGCCTCGCTGCTTCCTCATTTAAGCGCCTCTCTTACCCCCCACGAGCCATGCCCCTGCTCTCAGCACGATGCATGACACACTGCATGCCTGTGGCTGCCAGAGAATTGCCCTGAGTCCCCGGGCTGGTGCACCCATGTGCCTGCTCAGCCCCTGCAGGGCACGGCAGCATGCTCGTGCACACCCCCTAGCGCGCTGGCTCCTGGGGACTCTGCTGCTGTTCCTTTTGTGCTTCTCCTGTGTGCTAGGCAGCCTCTAATGCTTCCTCCGGCCCACGAGGAGACCACGTTCCTCCATGGTGAAGGAGCAAAGGCACTGCTCATACATGCTGCTGCATCCCATGGGGTCAAACACCTGGTTCAGGGGAACCAGTAACATCAAAAATGACACTTGCTGCCAGAGCCTAGTAGAGGTCAATGGCAATGATAGCTTGGGTCTAAAGCAGCAGCCAGTGCAGGGGCACTCCGTGTCGTACAGGGCAGGGGTCAGGCTTATCCTGTCTGCAAGCCTCAGTCTCCCAAAAAGCGAGACATGAAGAGCAGAAAGCCAAGAACTGCATGCAGAGAGGGCTGTCTTTGAGGCTTTCTACAAGGAGCTGTAGAAAGGTCCTTGTAGAAAGCTCCCACAACCCATCTCAGAGGAGAAAACCACTGCCATCTGGGGCGGTGCTACCCCTAACTCCTACTGGTTAGGGAACAACCATTTTGGTGCCACCAAACCTGCGGCAGCCAGGGTCACAGAAGACTGCAGACATTTCAACAACGTGAAGTAGATCCTGTAATGTCCAGTTCTGTCAACTGTGGCTGTTGTTTCCAAGCTTGCTGCTTTGGAAGAGGTGCAAATTTCTGCTAAGAGGCAGAGTATATAGTACTACTTTCAAAAGCAGCATCCTCTCCACCTCATGGGTGCTTGGTCTGGTTGCACGTGCACTAGCAGACACAAACAAGTGCCTGCAAGAGCCAGTCCTGCTCAGGAGATGCACATATCCAACATGCTTGCTACTGTTACGCTACGTTTGTGGGAGATAGTGTCATGCTCTCTGATGTAGCTTGCTGCTAAACTGACAGTCTCCTGTCTCTGCTTATTTGTCTGCTGCAAATAGTGTCATAGCTGAGAAAGTAAGAGAGACAGCAAGCCCCAGGTCAGCAAGCATCTGTACCCCAAAATGCATGACGCCCTCATTATTATCACCCCTTCCAATCCCTCAGTAAGCAGGAAAAACAATTTTCCCTTGCCAGAGTTAGCTGGGGATGGCGTCCACCACCTGGCTGCTTTCCAGCTTAACCTACCTTGAGTTGTGACTGATGACAAGCAAGATCATTTCTTTGGGGCCCCCAAGTACGAACCCAATCTATTGCTACTTCTGGCTCCCTGAGCAGCCTCGCAAAAGGAGGCATAAAAATAATTTCATCAAGAGCTATTTCATAGCTCCTGACCCCGTGACTGAGCAATTATCCCACAGAAAAGAAATCCCTTCCAGTGGAAAGAGGGGATCACTGCAACATACTCATCAATGTGGGCTACCCCAGAACTGGAGCCAGCTGGGGGACTCCTGCTTCAGAAGCTCACAGACCTGATAGAGGTGGGTAAGCTGCTTTGAGCTTCAGGCGGAGACCTGCTGAATTTACTGACTGAGACAAGTAGGCTGTGTGTTTGGACTTACATGCCAGAGAAACTTTTCCCTATGTGAGAAAGGAGGTGGCCGTGAATTCAGATCAAACAGCGATCCTGTGCGAGAAATCCCCCTCCAGAGAGAAACCATGTCAACTGTAGGTCTGTGCTTATTATCCTCCACGATCCTTTCTTTCCTTATTTTTATGCCCTCTTTGCTAGGATTTCTGCACTACAGGCAGCAGGAGACAGGAACAGCAGCCAGGAAGACTCCATGCTTCTCTGGTTAACAGGCAGACATCTCACGTGAGACAGTCTGGTGATGCTTCCTTTCTCAAGAGTGGTTTTGTAGCATCAAAACACTGTTTAGAATCATAGAATGGTTTGGGTTGGAAAAGACCTTTAAAGATCATATAGTCCAACCCCCTGCCATGGGCAGGGACACCTTTCACTAGATCAGGTTGCTCCAAGTGCCATCCAACCTGACCTTGAACACTCATTAATCCCTGAAATTTGCTGTCACCTGGTAAAAAACAAAACTAAACCACCAACCATCCCCTCCCACAATCTGGTGATACACAGAAATGCAAATATGACCATAAAACATACCTGATGATGAGCAGAAAAAGCAAGGGGAATCCAGGATACTAAGTTGTGAACTCCCTGCAAGCCAAAAATGGCCCTGCAGTGCACCTCTTACACCACCAGTGGATCGCTTCAGCAAGCTAAGGGTGATACGGGGCAAACCACAGGCAGCCAGTGCTCAGTGGGAATCAGCTCGTCAGTCTGGACTGTCTTGTATCTCCTCTCTTCCCCTGCCATAAATCCTTTTCATTCCAGCACAGCTATCTCTCTGCTTCACATCTGAGTACTGGTCCACGCTCCGGTGGGGTACAGCTCTACAGTTCCTGGAGATTTTCCCCATCACTTTTTGTAACCTTTACGCAAACCTTTCCTGAAGCGAAACAGAATAAAGCCTTCAAGAAGTACGGGGGCTGGCTTGTCCTGCCCCGCTAGTAACTGCCACCAGCTGCCTCCTGCTCACTCCATCAACCACTGTGAGAGCTCCAGTCACACTGAAGCATTATAAACATTTCTTTCCAACGATCCTCTTCAAGCCACAGAATGTAAACTTCAACCGCTAATATCACACCACTACCTACATCTTATACTGGCCTTCAAAACAAAAGACATTTTTTAAATTGTTTTAAAATGGCTACTCAAGCAAAATATAACTATACTGAAGCACAAAAACAAGGAAAAGAGATTCATCCCAACATCTCCCAAAATATTCTCTTCTTAACACTTACTTACATTACAGCTATCTCATTAACTAAAAGGGCATGAAGAAAGAAATAAGAACCTTGTTTTTGTTCTCAGGGAAAAAAAAACAACAAACTTTCAATTGAGCCACTTACCCTAAATGAGAATTCGAGGTTTTCTCCTCCCCAGACTTCCATTCCTGTGTCATATGAACCAAGATAATCAAAATACTTCTTGCTCACAGAAAACAATCCACCTGCCATGGTTGGAGACCTATAAAAGAGAATAATAACTCTGAATTGAATAAAAACCGAAAAATATAAATTAACGAACCGCAGATCAAAAATACAATGTATTTTTATTTTCCATTTTCTCAGTCTTTTCTGGATACAAAATAACAGTTAGCCATTGATCGGTTAAGTAGTATATGGTCAGGCCATTTAAATTTAATTCTGTAGTAAAAAATTGTATCAGAAATGAGCTCCAGAATGTATTAAAATAACTATGAACTCAGAGAAGACAAACATTGTATTTATACAAATTTTTGCAATTACAGTGTCTCTGTGAGTGGCCATAAATGACTAGCCTCTTACCTTCACATAGTAGAACATAAGCTTTTTTGTGGCAGAATTATTTTAGCCAGCTCTGAAATTCTAAGTGCAGTATCCTTATATATTTTACTTAAGTAGTAAGTAAACACATATTTGTGTTTTGGTAATTAATAACAACATTTCTGATCCCATTAATATCAAGTGGAAAAACTCTCAGACATCAACTGAGCAGAATTAAGTAAATGGAGCCCCTGAAGAGATTTTTTCTTTCTAAGATCTGCCCATCTGTTGGGGTTTTTTTTAATTATTTGCTACGTTTGGAAGAAAAATAAGGGGCCAAGAGTGGATCCTCACTGAAGACCACAAGGCCCAGAGCGGCAGCGCACTTAGGGGATGTACTTTCAGTAGGGTAGTGTGTGCATGTCTATATAAACTTGAATTTGTTCATTATTGTTCCTAATTGTTTACAGTCTTAGAAAATGTCCCTCTTTAAAGTGCCAAGCATGTAATGCTGGTTGGAACTAAATTCAGCTGACACTTTATGAATTTTACTAAATTGCTGTTGAGGTAAATATTAACAAATGCTAGGTGCAGTGATCAGTTACTCTTAATCCATCAAAACTAATTTTACCAGCCATCTTTTTGAAGCAACACTGTCTTACACTATTATACGTTGTTTCAAAGAACGGAAAGAGATGAGGTGAGACAGAAGGAAAAAAAAACCCAAGTTCCATAACCAGTCAAGTTCTTCTGTCTCGCTCCAGATCCTGTCTTTCCAAACACAGCTGTTGGTGACACTGCTCTCAGCACTGCTGCCTTCTCCAGACACTTGCCGAGCTCACAGTCCTCGGGCTACCACGAAGCTTTATCCTTCATCGTTTTCCCCTCGGCACGCCAAAGACAGTTCTTGTCGTGGAGAAGAAAAGCATCATATTTAAACTAAAGGCTTTAAAAACATTTACTCTGTTTTGAAACTTTTTTTCAGGAGGATGTGGATTAATATATGCTGAGAAGGACTAAACTACTGCCTCACTTTTCCCATTTAAAAGAAAAAATGTTCTCTTCTCTCAGTTGAGGATAAGTTCATTAATACTTGTGAAGTACTGGGTATTATTACCATGATAAGCGACCTAGAAAAGACTGAGAAAATTCTGAGAGAATTCTGTATTTGTTGTAGTCCATAAAATAACAGATTATAAATAAAAGCAAGGACTAACAAAATCGTGATGTTAAAAATGCCAGCTGCTTCATTTCTTACAATACACTACTGAAATACAGCAACTTCCAAATTAAGCGTAGCAGACCCTCAACTATCAGGATTTTGTCTACAGAGTCCATTTTCCAGACGCATTGTTTGCACTCTTACCTAACCTCTCCTAAAAATACACTATGGAGTGACAGATAATACCAACTGATTGCAACTTGTCTTAAAACAAAACAAAACTAAAACCCACAAGGAAGACATCCGCATGAGCTCCTACGAGTTAGCCCTTCATAGAAACTATGGTGGGCAGAGCTGTATCATTTCATCCAATAAAGAACTGGCAAACTGGCTCACCTTTGAAAACAGAGCAAGGAACCACCACTATCGCTATGGCACAGATAAAGTCTTCAAAACTACTTTTGCCTTCTTACTGGTTGACGATTTTTTTCCCTCATTGACCACATTTTTTACAACCCGGATCTCTTTGCTTTGCACAGAGGACATCCTTTAGTATTAGTTAATCAGTTACAACCTTTCCGTGTGCTGAAAAGCATCTGTGGGAGTTTGCCTGCAGGAGTCCAGAGGCTGCTTGTGCAATAAGGATTCCATATGGAAGACTACACAGGCATTTCAGCTTTTAGAGGAGTATTTTTTCAGGAGCATGGTGAGCAGGAGCTATTTTGGAAAAAAGGGGAACTAAACAAGATATGTAGTTTTTAGTAATATGCTCATTTCTCAAATATTTTTCAGCACCCAGTATTTCTAAGTGAAGTCAAAAGCACTTGTAACATTCACAGTTTCCTAAGATGCATAAAAATTAACCTGATCACATCGGTCTTGGACTTCCTCCGTTTTTGTTCTCTTTCAGGGGTACTATGCCAAGTGAAGACCAGTCTCCAGTCAAATCCGCCGATCTGTGGCTCACCAGCATTTCCCAAGTACTCAAATGTATTCCAGTCAATAACATCAATAACTGGGCAGACGACAGCTGACTCTTCTTCCGCAATCCTAATATGATTTTAAAAGAAAAGGGTGACTTCCATTAGAAACGTCTCTCAAAAACTAGAACTGTCAAGAACAAAGAATGCTTACAAATGCCAAATGCAAAGTTTTGCTCCTCTTCAACTCATGCTGCAATTCAAGGAAAGGATAGCTACAAGAATAACCACCGATTTCTTGCTGAGGATGCATCAGGAGGATGCGTCAGGATGGACTCAGCTGTAGGCACCTGGCAAGCATCAGTCTTCCTGGACAGTGGAAGTGAGGTATGCCAGATGGCTTGAGATAACACATTCAGCATCTGGCTTGGCTGCCATACCCAGCACTGCATTCTCAACAAAAACATCTATTTTGTTTTGCACAGGTAGCTGAGTTCAAGATATTTAGAAAGCAGCATGACTATCGTTCTGCAAGGATGAATAAGGTAGCTAGGCTCTTGGCTCATGGTTGTTCTTGTAACTGTGATCATCTGTGAAAAGTTATCCCGAGCACTACAACAGTAACTCAAAAAGAAGCCATGAGCTTAAACAGAAAAAAACCATGCGACACAGGAATTAGATCTCCCACAGTGAAACATACATGAAGGAGGCCTCCAGAAACACTGACAACATAGGACATAAAAAGGAGAAACAAGATAGTACTGCAGAATGACACACCTATCAGCAAGGCTGATGTAAAGATAGTTAAGGTCTTTATCATACTAAGAATACATCAGAGCTGACGACATTTCTTGCAGGTCTACTTCTGCAAGGAGATAAACTCCTTCCTCCCATTTCTCAGTACCATACAGGGTTTTCTGGATTCCTTTCCAAAAGCATTTGCCCTTACAAAAGACTGTGGGATCCTTTGCCTTCACCTCAACTTCTGGAAAGGCCTCTCAGTACCAGGAGAGATCAAATTCAAGCACAGAAGCTCAAGCTAAGGCTTTTCTCCTAAATCACTCTTTAGCAATCTTCTCTACACTAGTCTTAGACATCTCCTATTAGTTCAGTGAAAAACTGACTTGTTTGACTAAGATACTGGTACTTGTTTTAGCCCTGCATCTTCTGATTTGGGTATTCCAGAGGAGAAGAAAAACTGAACATGTTATATTGCCAGACAAGGAAGAGACCTAATGTATCTGTCATTCGAGGGGAGCCAGTTCCTCATGGGATTATTAAGCTTAAAACCCGCAGGCTGGCCAAGGGCCTCTGACTCCGAAATTAGAGCAGCTTGTGGTGGTTAAATGCAGCAGAGAACAGAAGCAGTTCCAAAGAAGTATTGTCTGAGCTGAGAAAGACTGCCTTAAATATGAAATGCTCCCTCGTTGCCAGAGGGAAGATGTGACACAGCTGCTTTTTTCTTTATGATCTCCCATTGAAGTTCTGTTTGGTAGAGTGCACAAAAGGGCTTATACAAATATTGCTATCTCCTGTCTCACTTGCATAAAGCTTATGTACAAAGCAATGAGAATGATACGTACACAGAGGAAAAAAATTCCCAATAAAATGTAAAAATGCTTTGTTGCTCCTGTAAAGGAAAAGAAGTAAAAATTAGGTATCTGGCACGTGATTTCAGTTATGAAAGGAATCAGGTAAGTGAAAAGCCATCACCTGTTCTGTAAGTTAAGAATTAACTAGATGGTACAATGCACAGGCAGCTTACAAATACAACTATGTTTGCACTGCAAAATGCTCACACTGTTGTATTGCTTCCATACATTTGAGTCGAGATATGCCATGCAAACATCCCCTTAGAGATGTACGTCTGCATCTGCAGCAAGAAGGGCAAAAATTCCAAGACGCATCCAGGGCTAACTTTTTACAGAAGGTGATTTATTAGCCAAATCATTATTATCCAACTCCTTCCTCAAGATTGCCATCTAGTGGTTTGCTAAAGAAGCAAAGAAATTACAGAATCGTCTCCACAGTTATGTACTGTTTCTTCAGAGGACAGTCGTTAAAACCATGCTTATTCTTTGATTTTTACCCCTTTTCCTTTCTTCACGCTATCTAGACTGTTCATAGTTTACCCACAGTTATCTGGAATATACTCGGTATGAAATTTAGAAACAAGTTAAATATGACAATTTTAAGGAAAAAAAAAAAATTAAAATATTATTCCAGATACAATTTCAAATGAACATGGGGAGTTCGAGAACACAAGTTCCACTAGGCATCAGGAAGACTCGCACTCCTCAAGACAGTGTGTGCTTTTGGAAATCTCCCTCCAGTTGGAGGGGGGTGGATTAGCTCAGGGCTGGGAAGACAGAGTTTATTGACTTGTCTTCCAATCTGCTTATGTGTACGTTGCCCTGCAACAGGGGATGTCTCAGGGCACGCATCTTTCCAGACCTTCTCATCCACCACCCAGGTTGATAGAAGTAGCCACCTTTCCCAAGGCAGTTTCAAAGCTGGGGGAGGATTCCTCTTCCTGAAAACAAAACTTTCCCTTCTCTGAAGAAAAAGAGCAGCCTGGTCCTCGGCAGAAAACAAAAATCCACCTCCTGATCTTCCACACTTCCATTCGCTACCCCACCACCAGGAAACAAACACTCACAGTGCCTCAGGGACCAGACTTCGGTAACCTTTGGTAAACGTCTACCAAGAGCCATTTTTCCACCGCAGAAGTGTGCCAAACCCTCTCTTCCCCATCTGCAGCGGGACAGAAAACCAGCCCAGAGCATAACCTCACCTTGCCAGCAGCGGCTCCAGCCAGCCCTCGTGGCATTCGCAGTGGCAGTCCAGGAACGTCAGGATGTCTCCTTTTGCCACAGACGCCCCCAGCAGCCGGGCTCGAACCAGCCCCTCTCGCTTATTTGCACGGATAAGACGCACCTTGCGTAAGCCAGCCATGTAATTTTCCAAAGCCTCCTTTAAATGTTCTGTAACAAACAAAAAAAAAAAGAAAGAAAGAATATAGTTCTGGAACGACTGGTTTACATCATGCTACAGAAAGCTCTTTTTTCAGTAGCATATTACTTATAGCGGTGCCTGAAAGATGCCGGCATTCTGAACACTGATTCTGCTATACTGTCCATGTTAGGAAAGGACAAGGAAAAAGCACAGAACTTGGATGGACACAAATCACAGTTACTTTCAAGAAATTGAATGCTTCATATTTGCCTCTGTAATTCAGTTCCAAATTGTTAAGTGCTTCTCAAATGTTATATAAAACTTTTTCCATGTAAAAGTTTTATTCTTAAACACAACTCGTGTGGTGGAAAATTCAAGCATTGTCTTTGTGTCCCATAAATCAAACGAAAACAGATAAACAGGTAGCTCTCACTATACTAGACACCAGGGCAACCTTGGAGCAATCGAAACTTGCTCAAATTAGGAAACCTGAAATGCTCTGACCAGACTGTATGTTATCTATATATGCAAGCACTCCTGTTACAACACAGCAAACGTGCTTCCCCATTCTAAACTAAATTTGGTCCAGAAGTCAAATTTTTCACTGGCACGCTACAAGAAAAATTATTTTCCAATTAGATGCCTATGTTGTACAATTTTATGGTATGTTACTCAAACAGCATATCTTTTTCTCCTATGGACTGGCTGACAAAAAAACCCATCAACAATCAACATTATTTAGAGTTATTCTTCCTACCTTTGTCACTGTAATCATCTACAAGGATAATTTCTTCCAAAAGTATATCTGGAGATGTCTCAAGAACACTATGAACAGTTCGCAGAAGTGTTGACCAAGCCTCATTATAAAAAGCTATCACAACGGAGGTTTTTGGCAGGCTATAATAATCATACTTCTTCTCTCTGCATCTGTAAGGGAGGGGATTACATTTACTACAAGTGCAAAAGCATTTGTTAATTTCCATAAAACTACTCTCAAATGAAGATTTTGTATGCTATTTTCTAACTGTAAGCAAGGGCAAGAACATATAAAAGATCTTAAAAGAACTGCACGTACACGAAGAGTCATGCAAACACTTTCAGGAAGCTGGTCTTCCAGAAGTCCCATTTCCGCAGCACCATTATGACTAAAATTCTGTAACCCTCCAAAATGTCTAAAAGGAAAAATAATAGGAGGTATTCTGGGCTGGTGTATGTGCAATAGCCATCTTCGCACAATATTACCTCAAGTGGAAGAACAAGCAATGGCCAAAACATGCCTCAGATTACAGGGAAGAAAAAAAAAAATATATATATATATAAAACCTAAGTGTGGTAAAAACAGTAGCATAAATTACTGATAACTTGTGCTTTGGAAAATAAAACAAGTGCTAGACAGTAAAAACATAACTGTGAAGGAAGAGCAACATATAAAGAGAAAACAAAACAGCAACAGAACTGAGACGTATGTACACTGAAGCAGAATTTGGGAAGACCACAGAACTGCCAAGATATAATAGTGAAATCCGCAAAAAACACAGACATAGAAATGCATGGTTTTGGCTCTATGGGGAGCCAGGAAGCTTGCAACCCTTTGGATTTTGCTCCAGAATGTATTTCCTATAAATATACATATGAACTTCCCTAAATGAACATAAGGATGCCAAGAAACTTACAGCTGAGCCAAATGTGTAAATTGTTAAAGATTCCCCTGGTCTGAAAGAATTTTAAAGTAATAATGGTATTTATTACCATTTCTCCCCTTTTCTTAAAGCATCCTGTATGAGTTTTGTTAAAAACCAACAGAAATGGTTTAGAGATGTTTGAATTTTCTTATGCCTCCAGCTTACTGCCTGGAGTCACCAGGGCTTGTAAGGGGCAGAAGGACATACTTCAGCTTCTGTAGACCGCTAGGTCACAACAGATACCGAAGCAGGTAGGACATGCCTCCTACCAAAGCAGAACAGCAGCGAGCCCTCCAAAACCCATGCTATGGGGAGCTGAAGAGGGAAACCAGAACTGATCAGTAGAAAATGTGACAGCAAAATCCCTTAGGTCAATTTAGGGGAACCAAAATTCCCCAAAACTCCCAGAAAATGACATTAAAAGAAAACTGCTTACCTATAGCACATTGAGAATATATTTAGTGACTATTTAATGCTGCTGTGTTTGCAATAAAAAAAAAAAAAAAGACTACTTACAGGTTTCTTTAATGATTAGGCAACATCTATCAAGTTCCATGGTACAGAAAGAAAAAAAAAAAAGTCTGAATCTGAATATTCCTAATATTAAAATTCTTACAAGGGAAAAAAAAAGTCTGTAGAGTACTTTTGTAATAAATACCTGAAAGTGAGGAAGCAATGAGGAAAAATGACACTTGGGCAGAGGAGGCACACAGAAGGCTGCTTCTCAAACATGAAAGGAATGCTATGCAACAACACTAATTTTATATGATGCGTATGCATGCATATACACATAGGTAGGTACACATACACACACACTTATACAGTGAAGTACAAAAATGCCCATCCCTCCAGGCTGTAACTTGTCCTGAGGCAAACAGGGGCATTCACACAGAGAACTGCCTCACACCAATGGCTGGTGACAGAAGTGATTTATTTTGCCAAATGTTCATGTATTAAGACATGAAAAAGGAGTGACATTCTAATTAACTTTTTTTTTAAACGCAGAAAAACCTACTGTATGAATCCAATTTTAGAAATACATATTTACTTTAGGCTATTGAAAAACATTTATGCTCAGTGCTGCCAGGAAAAAATTCTTCTTGTGTATCACAGCCACTCGTACCAGGTAATTTCAGTTCATTTCTTGATGGAAATGGGATCTTTACCTACCCATTTTAGAAAACCGAAGGAAAAAAAGAAATAAATAGAAAACCTCCAGGAAAGCTTTCTCTGGCAAATACGTCAGAAAGATTCACAGAATAATAATGTTGTATTCCATTATTTAAAAAAGGAAATCCAAAAGGTCTAAAGAAGCTTATAAGCCTAATTATAGATTAAAGACTTCAATGGATTTGCCTGAAAATCACACGCTGGAGACGGGAAACATAATTTGGCACAGAGCAAGGCAATCCCCAAACTGTTTGTGATTCACTGTGCATTGCTGCCTCCATCGTTGAGCGTACCCTACACTGCGGAAAAAGGACAGCCTCCTACAAGACATACCAGAGTGCACGTTTCTTAGGTTTCTGAAGTCAAGAAAGAGGCCACAACTAAAAAGGGCGTTTTATTTACTAGCTCCGTGGTGGAAGGCAGCAGGCAAGTGCAGAGAAGTGACTCTCCAGGGCGGCAGGGCAGGCTGCTGGCCGGCACGGCCGCGCTGCCCCGAGGGGTGCCCGGTTCCCCCGGAGCCCGCTTCCCCCCAACAGGCCGGCTGGACAAGGCTGACAACCCGCTGAAGAAAGGAACCATCTCTCACCTTGCATGTTGAAATACACAGAGCACGACTGAAAGCTCAGCTTTTTAGTACACTAACTTTATTCTGGGGAAAACTAATCATCACGTATAGACCAACTAAAATTTTGAAACTTTTAAAGAATTAGGGAAAAAAAAAAGTCATTCACCTTCTATGCAGATTTGCACGTTTATCTCAGAAATTATTTCCAAGACTAGAAATTATTTCCTTACTAGATTGCTACAAGATCTCAACTGTTAGCAGTCTCAAATATTGTTGCTAAAATGAAGCACGCTTTTCCTTATCTTTCTGTACTGAAAGACATTTCAAAGAGTTTTGCTAAGTCTTAAAAAATAATCCCCTTGGGGAGATTACAAACCCAAAGCATTTCAACCATGGAAAAATAACAGTGTAAGAAAATCTTAAAAAAACGAATGAATCCCTGAAATGGAAATGCTTAGAAGCGTTGTTGAATAACAATTAAGCGGCATACATATGGACACTAAACATTACCACCTCACAAGATATACAAGCTTCAAAAAAACCACTACAAGTATGAAACCTGACTTAAAGCCTAGTGGTCGCAACTCGGCTTTTCCCTTTCCCAACTTCTGTTTACAACAGAACCACCATAGCAGTGCATCTTCTGTATTCACCTTTGCAAACTTCAGGATGTATTTTTATTCTCTGTGTGTCAGCCGAGTATCCAAGTTCCTACTTCCCAAGTGAATCATTTCACTCCTACTTTGTGTTATTCAGAAAAACAAATGCGTATCAGTTACAATGTGTCACTAAAATGACAGGGAGGATACAAACTGGTGACAACAGTCCCAAAATACGTTTTTGCAGATACTAGGAATGTATACTTACACTGCCTATACCGCAAGCTGCTTTCAGCTTCTGACTAAGGCACTCTTTAGTGCCACCCTCAAATGTGCAACACTCTCCTCTCCCAACATAGAGGATCACGTTAAGACAGGATTAATTGCATCTCACATTAGCCATCTAAAAGATGGGTGCTATCTTTGAGCTAATCGTCTGGATTCTGTATGTCCGTAAAGACAGATCCAGAAGGCGATTCACCTCTGTCGTGGTTTAACCTCAGCCGGCAACTGAGCACCACACAGCCGCTCGCTCACTCCCCCCACCCCAGTGGGATGGGGGAGAGAATCGGGAGAGTAAAAGTGAGAAAACTCATGGGTTGAGATAAGAACAGTTTAATAATTGAAATAAAATAAACTACTAATAGCAACAACAACAACAATAATAAAAGAATATACAAAGCAAGTGATGCACAGTGCAATTGCTCACCACCTGCCGACCGATGCCCAGCCAGTCCCCGAGCAGCGGCCCCCCCAGCCAGCTTCCCCCAGTTTATGTACTGAGCGTGATGTCCCATGGTATGGAATGTCCCTTGGGCCAGTTTGGGTCAGCTGTCCCGGCTGTGCCCCCTCCCAGCTTCTTCTGCACCTCCAGCCTTCTCAGTCGGTAGAGCATGTGGAGCTGAGAAGTCCTTGGCTAGGGTAAGCACTGCTCAGCAACAACTAAAACATCGGTGTGTTATCAATGTTGTTCTCACCCTAAATCCAAAACACAGCACTGTACCAGCTACTGGGAAGGAAACTGACTCTATCCCAGCTGAAACCAGGACAACCTCACCCTCCTTAAGCCATTTATCTAGCACAGACAAACAGACCTTTGTGGGTCCCCACCTCCCCCTTGTCTATAGAGGTTTAACTATAGAGCAGATGCTTAACTTTTCTACGGCTGAAGTTAAACAGCAGGAAACTACCTATAGCCCCTACTATTGGCTGCCTGATACATCACCTTGAACCTAGTTATCATAACTACCAAATGGTTTGTAAAAACCTAACACAGACACGAGGAAATGAGTTGCCTGTAAACCTGACATTTCCAAGCATGGACGATAAATGCAGAAGCACTGTCATCTGAAGTCCAACATATTCTTTCACTACTCTCATGATCTTATTCAACCACAGGAACTTTACTATTTACATAAATAATAATGATATATGTTAAAAAAAAAAAAGAAGTTAAAAATGTGTGCATGTGGAGTGGGTTCATTTTCTTCAGAAAAGTACACATATCTCTAGTCAAGCTGATTTTGGAAAAAGTTACCAGATACCAGGATCAGTCATTGAGGAAAAACTTATTGCCAGCACATGTGAGCAGCTTTTTTAAAGCCAACAAAAGAAAGGCATAAAGTTTTAAACAGGACTCAGATTTCACTGAAAAACACTGATATATAATGGATAACACAATGGAAAGGAGTGACACCTGCTCAGCCTCTGCCCTCCGATGGCTCCTGTTCCGGCAGCCCCCCTAGAAAATGCACGAGCAGAGTCTTTGTGCACAGCAGAGTTGCACCCAGGGAAAATGCAGCCGGCACTGCCCCTAACCACCTGCCGGGGGGTGGGCTGGGACACTGCCCTGCTCCAGCAGCAGCCTGCTTCTGCACCGTCCTTGGTTTCCCTCAGGCACTCTCTGCCACACTGGGTGGATATTCCAAGAATCCTCCTGCTTGATCACGGCGGCTTAAAAGACAGGTATAAAACAAGAAATGCCGAAAGACACAACTTTTGTTTATCAATTTATAATAAAAGAAACATCTACATTTTAAAAATTCTAATTGTATTCAGCCATAAATCTTTACATTCCTAGACAGGAGGAGAGAGAGAATAATGCTGTGCCTGAACAAAAACTTAAAAACAAGTTCACTATGTACCATCTTTCCTGGATGTTTCACTACAGCACCTACTCAAACATCTACCTCTACAAAATGCAAACTGAAACAAAGCATGTAAAGGTGTATCATCATAATCCACATTCCTGTGGGTTTTTGGTTTTACGTTTTTACACTTCATTTGCAATGCACAGTCTAACTGAGACTATACGGCTGACAAGTTTAATAATTTAACCTTGGAATTACTACACTACAAAACCTTCTGTTAGCAAGTTTATAGTTTATTTATTAGAAACTAAGGAGACATCAGTCAGGAAATGCCTAAACAAAATTAAATGGGCTATTTTAGAGAACATTTGTGTCAATTAATGTAATCACTCAATCTATTTCATTGTAAGGAGCTGTTTCCCTCTTAAAGATGCATATCTATACACAGGCAGAGAGAGCATGAATGTGTGCACTCTGGGCATGCTGCCATGAGTTAATTAGGAATGGTTGCTGACACACTTTTATGCAAGACTTTCACCGCAACTGTGACAACAATACGGCAAGAGACAATACATTTTTAATCTCCAAATCTTATTTTCTATATGCCAAGTTTCTCATCTTTTAAGAAAAAATATGAAATGTTCTGTGAGTTTTCAAAGATTTGTTAAGAATACAATTGGCTGCTTTCTAAAGGTACACTTCTCTTTTAGAAATAAGGTACTGGAACATTTTTAATGGAAAAAAGTGTGTGTTGAAAAAATCAAGATGTTAAAATTACTCTCAGCAATCCACAAAAACGAAACTGTTCTAGACTGCTGAAATATTTTTTTGCTTTTGAAGTTTCGTTATGAATGCCTGAAAATACAGAAAGTTCAAGATTCTGTAGCTTCTCTCAGGAAGTTCAAAACAGCACGTGTCACTGCTGTATCTGATTTAACGTGATTTATGTGACTACGGTACATGACATTGCCATATACGCACCATCACAGCATCATCTAGCAAACATTGTCAGGATCCTGCTTCAGGCTGGGTTGCACGTGGCAGGCTAGGAAGCAGGCTTGCTGGCTTTGTTATGGTGGGTGGTGGACATGCCAACTCACACCACCGCCTCCTTTTCTCTTCCTAATTTGAACAGGGTTAGGACATTGAATTAAACAGCAGATGCCCTTTTAGTAAGAGGTGTGCTCAAACGTGGTGTTTTGCAGGCTGTAAGTAAAAACAGATGATCTGGACGAACGGGCATCTCAATCCACTTTCACCTTCTCCACTCCCCACCTCATAAGCCGCAGAGGCGGTAATGTGAACTCAAGGGTCTGCCAGGCATCTTCACCCAAGAGAAAACACCTCCTCCTCCCAAAGCCGCAGCAGAGGACACAGCTGTGCTGGGGTCCTCTTCTCCCCCCTTTTCTGCTTCTCCCTTCCCTCTTGCTCCCAGCAGCAGCTTAGGGTTCATCAGGTCCATCCATGAGCATCCCAAGCTCAGCAGCATGACACAGGTCACATCGCTGGTTTCTGAGCCACCCTGCAGAGTTACCGAGGCCGTGCTACCTACTCCAGGCTCAACGTCAGTTTCAACAGCCGCTCCTCACCCCTCCTTGGGGGACAGCAACCTATGGATAAAACCCAGCATGTGAGCCAAAAGTGATGCAACCCTGTTACATCAAAACCTGGGATATAGAAGTGCGACATTTCCAGTGGAATTAAAGGATAAATCAGATTATTCTTATCTCCTCCAAACACTACCCAACTTTTCATGCTAATTTATTTTCGCACACAAAACTACCTTGAACCAACTGTCAGTTCTGTTTAAAAAAAAAAAAAAAAGTCTTATCTGAGCATGTGTCGTGGTTTAACCTCAGTCGGCAACCAAGTACCACACAGCCGCTCGCTCACTCTCCCCACCCACCCCACCCCACCCCCAGTGGGATCGGGGAGAGAATCAGATGAGTAAAAGTGAGAAAACTCATGGGTTGAGATAAGAACAGTTTAATAATTGAAATAAAATAAAATACTACTAACAATAACAA